AGCAAAGCTTTTGACACGGTCTCCACAGTATTCTTGTCAGCAAGTTAAGGAAGTATGGGCTGGATGAATGCACCATAAGGTGGGTAGAAAGTTGGCTAGATTGTCGGGCTCAACGGGTAGTGATCAATGGCTCCATGTCTAGTTGGCAGCCGGTGTCAAGTGGAGTGCCCCAGGGGTCGGTCCTGGGGCCGGTTTTGTTCAGTATCTTCATAAATGATCTGGAGGATGGTGTGGATTGCACTCTCAGCAAATTTGCAGATGATACTAAACTGGGAGGAGTGGTAGATACGCTGGAGGGCAGGGATAGGATACAGAGGGACCTAGGCAAATTGGAGGATTGGGCCAAAAGAAATCTGATGAGGTTCAATAAGGACAAGTGCAGGGTCCTGCACTTAGGACAGAAGAATCCAATGCACAGCTACAGACTAGGGACCGAATGGCTAGGCAGCAGTTCTGCAGAAAAGGACCTAGGGGTGACAGTGGACGAGAAGCTGGATATGAGCCAGCAGTGTGCCCTTGTTGCCAAGAAGGCCAATGGCATTTTGGGATGTATAAGTAGGGGCATAGCGAGCAGATCGAGGGATGTGATCGTCCCCCTCTATTCGACATTGGTGAGGCCTCATCTGGAGTACTGTGTCCAGTTTTGGGCCCCACACTACAAGAAGGATGTGGATAAATTGGAGAGAGTCCAGCGAAGGGCAACAAAAATGATTAGGGGTCTGGAACACATGAGTTATGAGGAGAGGCTGAGGGAACTGGGATTGTTTAGTCTGCAGAAGAGAAGAATGAGGGGGGATTTGATAGCTGCTTTCAACTACCTGAGAGGTAGTTCCAGAGAGGATGGTTCTAGACTATCCTCAGTGGTGGAAGAGGACAGGACAAGGAGCAATGGTCTCAAGTTGCAGTGGGGGAGGTTCAGGTTGGATATTAGGAAAAACTTTTTCACTAGGAGGGTGGTGAAACACTGGAATGCGTTGCCTAGGGAGGTGGTGGAATCTCCTTCCTTAGAAGTTTTTAAGGTCAGGCTTGACAAAGGCCTGGCTGGGATGATTTAATTGGGTATGGGTCCTGCTTTTGAGCAGGGGGTTGGACTAGATGACCTCCTGAGGTCCCTTCCAACCCTGATATTCTATGATTCTATTCTATGATTCTACCTCTGTTTTACATATGGGGAAACTGAGGCACAGAGCCTACGAGCCAGATTCATTGCTCTTCTGCACCTTGTGTTGTCACTTACACCAATATAAAATAAATGTAAAATGCCATCAGAACAGAGGCGTAGAATTTCATGCTGGCCATGCCCTAGTGTAAATGACTGCACAAAGTGCAGGGTATTGGTGAACTGAACCCACGGTTTTACTGAACCCAAGATTGCAGTAGAGGTGGGACTTGAATTCAGGTCTCCTGAGTCCTAGTCAAGTGCCTTAACAAGATCATCCTTCCATAAACTGCCCCAGATTATGTGTCTTGGCACCTACGGGAGCAGCAGAAAACGTTGGATTAATGATTGAATTCTAGATCTCTGATGCACAAATCTGCATGTGTTCAAGGCTCTCAGAAATCAAACACACATTCAGGGTGTATTCTGGACTAGTGATGAGATGATAACGCAGTCCATCTGGCACTTGAATGGGCTAAAGTCCTACTGTCAACATAAACTTGAAACTGATATTTAAAAAAGAAAATCACATATGTTATTAATAACCGATTCAGTGGTAATTGGTGTCCTATAAATACCTAAGAGAGGGAACGCAAGAGGTGGTTGGATTTTCAGATTCAAATTTGTTTTTCATTATTTTTCTTGCTTCCAATTTACAACTCCCTCAGCTCAGGGAATGAAAGTAGCCTGGTCAGTTTCACTCTTAGGTGTACATGGAACTCTGCCTTAAAGGATCATTCAGGTGAGCAATAAAATGGTGGCCTGATTCATTTAGGTTAAAAAGGTCAAACGAAATTATCTTGCTGATGCCTCAAACGTCATGGGTTTATGTAATATGCACATGATATTTATGAATGTATGACATGATTTTCATTGGAGCAGTTCATACGTGTTCACACTGCTTTCATTTACTCTGGTGTAAATTGGAAGTAACTCCATTGTAGTTACCAGTGGGACTATGGGTATGTCTACACTACGAAATTAGGTCGAATTTATAGAAGTCGGTTTTGTAGAAAGCGTTTTTATACGCTCGTAGTGTGTGTCCCCACACAAATGCTCTAAGTGCATGTAGTCAGCAGAGTGTGTCCACAGTACCGAGGCATCTGTCGACTTCTGGAGCATTGCACTGTGGGTAGCTATCCCACAGTTCCCTCAGTCTCTACCGCCCATTTGAATTCTGGGTGGAAATCCCAGTGCCTGATGGGGCTAAAACATTGTTGCGGGTGGTTCTGGGTATGTATCGTCAGGCCCCCGTTCCCTGCCTCCCTCCATGAAAGCAAGGGCAGACAATCGTTTTGCGCCTTTTTTTCTTGAGTTACCTGTGCAGACGCCATACCACAGCAAGCATGGAGCCCGCTCAGCTCACCGTCACCGTATGTCTCCTGGGTGCTGGCCGACGTGGTACTGCATTGCTACACAGCAGCAGTTTATTGCCTTTTGGCAGCAGACAGTGCAGTATGAGTGGTAGCCGTCGTCGACGTAGTCCTGGGTGCTCTTTTAACTGGGCACCTGGGCAAACATGGGAGTGACTCAGCCAGGTCATTTCCCTTGTTTCGTCTCATGGCGATTTGAGTCCCACTGGCAGTGCGCTGTCTTTTAATCTGCAGCTAGCAGAAGACGATAGCCAGTAGTCATACTGCACTGTCTTCTGCCGAGCACCCAGGAGATGACGATGGCTAGCGGTCGTACTGCAAAGTCTGGTGCCAGCAAGATGTATAAAGATAGATGAAGTGGCTCAAAACAAGAAATAGACCAGATTTGTTTTGTATTCATTTTCTCCTCCCTCCCTCTGTGAAATCAATGGCCTGCTAAACCCAGTTTTGAGTTCTATCCTTGAGGGGGCCATTCAGTTTCTCGCAAAGCCACCCCCTTTGTTGATTTTAATTCCCTGTAAGCCTACGCTGTAAGCCATGGTGTCAGTCGTCCCTCCCTCCCTCAGGGCAACGGCCTACAATCATTCCACGCCTTTTTTTCTGTGTAGATGCCATACCACGGCAAGCATGGAGCCCGCTCAGATCACTTTGGCAATTAGGAGCACATTAAACACCACACGCATTATCCAGCAGTATATGCAGCACCAGAACCTGGCAAAGCGAAACCAGGCGAGTAGGCGACATCAGCGCGGTGACGGGAGTGATGAGGACATGGACACAGACTTCTCTCAAACCACGGGCCCTTGCAGTGTGGGCATCATGGTGCTAATGGGGCAAGTCGTGCGGTGGAACGCCGATTCTGGGCCCGGGAAACAAGCACAGACTGGTGGGACCACATAGTGTTGCAGGTCTGGGACAATTCCCAGTGGCTGCGAAACTTTCACATGCGTAAGGGCACTTTCATGGAACTTTGTGACTTGCTTTCCCCTGCCTGAGGCACAAGAATACCAAGATGAGAGCAGCCCTCACAGTTGAGAAGGGAGTGGCGATAGCCCTGTGGAAGCTTGCAACGCCAGACAGCTACTGGTCAGTTGGGAATCAATTTGGAGTGGGCAAATCTACTGTGGGGACTGCTGTGATGCAAGTAGCCAACACAGTCAAAGATCTGCTGATATCAAGGGTAGTGACCCTGAGAAATGTGCAGGTCGTAGTGGATGGCTTTGCTGTAATGGGATTTCCTAACTGTGGTGGGGCGATAGACGGAACCCATATCCCTATCTTGGCACCGGAGCACCAAGCCGGCGAGTACGTAAACTGCAAGAGGTACTTTTCAATAGTGCTGCAAGCATTGGTGGATCACAAGGGCCGTTTCACCAACATCAACGTGGGATGGCCGGGAAGGGTACATGACACTCGCATCTTCAGGAACTCTGGTCTGTTTCAAAAGCTGCAGGAAGGGACTTTCTTCCCAGACCAGAAAATAACCGTTGGGGATGTTGAAATGCCTATAGTTATCCTTGGGGACCCAGCCTACCCCTTAATGCCATGGCTCATGAAGCCATACACAGGCAGCCTGGACAGTAGTCAGGAGCTGTTCAACTACAGGCTGAGCAAGTGCAGAATGGTGGTAGAATGTGCATTTGGACGTTTAAAAGCGTGCTGGCGCAGTTTACTGACTCGGTTAGACCTCAGCGAAACCAATACCCACTGTTATTACTGCTTGCTGTGAGCTCCACAATATCTGTGAGAGTAAGGGGGAGACGTTTATGGTGAGGTGGGAGGTTGAGGCAAATCGCCTGGCTGCTGGTTATGCACAGCCAGACACCAGCGTGGTTAGAAGAGCACAGGAGGGCACGGTGCACATCAGAGAAGCTTTGAAAACCAGTTTCATGACTGGCCAGGCTATGGTGTGAAAGTTCTGTTTGTTTCTCCTTGATGAAACCCTCCGCCCCTTGGTTCACTCTACTTCCCTGTAAGCTAACCACTCCTCCCTTTGATCACCACTTGCAGAGGCAATAAAGTCATTGTTGCTTCACATTCATGCATTCTTTATTCATACATCACACAAATAGGGGGATAACTACCAAGGTAGCCCAGGAGGGGTGGTGGAGGAGAGAAGCACCAGGAGAGGTGGTGGAGGAGGGAAGGACAAGGCCACACAGCACTTTAAAAGTTTAAAACTTATTGAATGCTAGCTTTCTGTTGCTTGGGCAATCCTCTGGGGTGGAGTGGCTGGAGGCCCCCCCACCGCGTTCTTGGGCATCTGGGTGAGGAGGCTATGGAACTTGGGGAGGAGGGCGGTTGGTTACACAGGGGCTGTAGCAGCAGTCTGTGCTCCTGTTGCCTTTCCTGCAGCTCAACCATACGCTGGAGCATATTAGTTTGATCCTCCAGCAGCCTCAGCATTGAATCCTGCCTCCTCTCATCACGCTGCCATCACCTTTCAGCTTCAGCCCGCCACTTACTCTCTTCAGCCCGCCACTTCTCCACCTGGTCATTTTGTGCTTTCCTGCACTCTGACATTGTCTACCTCCATGCATTCGTCTGTGCTCTGTCAGTGTGGGAGGACAGCATGAGCTCAGAGAACATTTAATCGCGAGTGCGTTTTTTTGGCCTTCTAATCTTCGCTAGCCTCTGGGAAGGAAAAGATCCTGTGATCCTTGAAACACATGCAGCTGGTGGAGGGAAAAAAAAGGGACAGTGGTATTTAAAAAGACAAATTTTATAGAACAATGCGTACGCTCTTTCACAGTAAACCTTGCTGTTAACATTACATACATAGCACATGTGCTTTTGCTCCAAGGTCACATTTTGCCTCCCCCTCCCTGTGGCTAACAGCAGGGAACGTTTCTGTTCAGCCACAGGCAAACAGCCCAGCAGGAATGGGCACCTCTGAATGTCCCCTTAAGAAAAGCACCCTATGTCAACCAGGTGCCCATGAATGATATCACTCTCCTGAGGATAACACAGAGAGATAAAGGACGGATGTTGTTTGAACGCCAGCAAACATACACTGCAATGCTTTGTTCTACAATGATTCCCGAGTACGTGCTACTGGCCTGGAGTGGTAAAGTGTCCTACCATGGTGGATGGAATAAGGCTGCCCACCCCAGAAACCTTTTTCAAAGGCTTTGGGAGTATATCCAAGAGAGCCACGAATGCCAGGGCAAATTAATCATTAAACATGCTTGCTTTTAAACCATGTATAGTATTTTAAAAGCTACACTCACCAGAGGTCCCTTCTCCGCCTGGTGGGTCCGGGAGGCAGCCTTGGGTGGGTTCGGGGGGTACTGGCTCCAGGTCCAGGGTGAGAAACAGTTCCTGGCTGTCGGGAAAACCGGTTTCTCTGCTTGCTTGCTGTGAGCTATCTACAACCTCATCATCATCATCTTCCTCATCCCCAAAACCTGCTTCCTTGTTGCCTCCATCTCCATTGAAGGAGTCAAACAACACGGCTGGGGTAGTGGTGGCTGAACCCCCTAAAATGGCATTCAGCTCATCATAGAAGCGGCATGTTTTGGGCTCTGACCCGAAGTGGTCGTTTGCTTCTCTGGTTTTCTGGTAGGCTTGCCTCAGCTCCTTAAGTTTCACGTGGCACTGCTTTGGGTCCCTGTTATGGCCTCTGTCCTTCATGCCCTGGGAGGTTTTGACAAATGCTTTGGCATTTCGAAAACTGGAACGTAGTTCTGATAGCACGGATTCCTCTCCCCATACAGCGATCAGATCCCGTACCTCCCGTTCGGTCCATGCTGGAGCTCTTTTGCGATTCTGGGACTCCATCATGGTCAGCTCTGCTGATGAGCTCTGCATGGTCACCTGCAGCTTGCCACGCTGGCCAAACAGGAAATTGAAATTCAAAAGTTTGCGGCCTTTTCCTGTCTACCTGGCCAGTGCATCTGAGTGGTCCTGTCCAGAGTGGTCACAATAGAGCACTCTGGGGTAGCTCCCGGAGGCCAATACCATCTAATTGCGTCCACAGTACCTCAAATTCAACCCAGCAAGGCCAATTTCAGTGCTAATCCCCTTTTTGGGGGTGGAGTAAGGAAATCGATTTTAAGAGCCCTTTAAGTCGAAAAAAAGGGCTTCGTCGTGTGGACGGGTGCATGGTTAAATCGATTTAATGCTGCTAAATTCGACCTCAACTCCTAGTGTAGACCAGGGCTAAGCAGACTTTGTTTCACATGAAGCAAGCACACTGACTGCCACCATTCTCAGCAGTTCATTTCTAAAGGATAAACGAAAAGCTTGGCCAGTAAACTAAATATTCTTGAGTTCCAAGGACTAGTTAAAGCCGATCTGTGGTGTTTGATGTGCTGTAGTCAGTTTCATTTCCTGATTCTCTTGCATTAACTTGATGCTGTTGTGGTTGGTTTTCCAGCACAGCAGAAGAATGTTAATTAAAGTGGTTAATTTAAAGGTTTTATATAAAATTCATTTAAATGTTTCCATTCATATGATTTCAAAGAAACAATCTTTAGAACCTAGTTGAACATGTATTTTGAGTTGCTAATTGCCATTCATGTTGCAGACCAAAAAGAACCATCCTCTCTCATTTAATTAAAGTTTCATGTGTGTACTTGGAAGGAGCTTGATGATATATTTTTGTAGCTCCTGTCAGATAATGGGACTTGCAGTGTTTAAACAGATGCTAACTTGAAAAATGGGAATTACAAGATTTTCTGTCTGCCCAGTTGTATGAAGTGGAGCATGAGGTATACTAGAAGTGTTTGTTTTCCAAAGAGGTGTCTCCTATGATGTAATGCCTTCTAGGCTATTCGGAATATGTTGGCAATAAATCTGGCTAAAGGGTCACTTATTCCAGATGCCTTGATGAAGTGGATTGGAGGTGAGATGATAAACTATGTTTATGCATGTGCTGAAAGTGAGGGAAGTGTGAACATTACATAAGAGAAGCACAAACTGTGTTTGAAACAAACGCTTTGGGCTGAGACTTGTGAAATAGGGAAGGAATTCATGGTGTGTGGAAAAATATAACCCCTAATTATAATTCACTATTTAAAAAAAAAAAAAAAAAGTAGCTGGCTGTTTTAGTAGCATCTCTGTAATTCGAGGCCAGCATTGCAGCGAAGGGTCCTGCAGTAGAGAGTTTAAAGTGGGACCACTCCAAAGACTCAACCAAAACTCCTCATTCTTTTAACCAAAATTTGTTAATCTTGAGGCCATGCTCCAAGACCCATTTCCACAGCTTTTGCCTGCAGACAGTGAGGGAGGGGGTTAACACCTTTTCAGTTCTGGGGATTAAGCTCTTCTAGAAGGGGAAAGTTAATGTATGATACCAATCACGTATTGCAGTCTGGGAAACCTATTTTCACTTAAATGTGTTGGAATTAAATGTCTGAGGCGATTGGTAATGAGTTAATTGAGCCTTACAACTTTAGGGCACTGTTTCAAATCACGCTTAGGTCACTAGTGACCAAAAATTGTTACTATCTTATGTCATGCCAGTTGGTGGTCTGTGTGAAACGAGTTGCCGCAGCTGGGGTGGGGACGGAGGGCTTTACATCACACCACACAGCCAACAGGGTTGGTACTATCTGAACTCCTCATCGCTGGCAGTCTCAGCAGACAGGTAAAAAGACTGAATGGTCCAACGAGAGACAACTCCCTTCCCAACCCTAGAGAAGGCCTGTTCTATTAATTTAAGTGGAGAACATATGGGCCAAAGGTATTAACATAACCCAGTCACCATCCAACACTAAACAGTCTTAAACAAGGTTCGGGGTTTGGTATACAGAGACCTCAGCCTGCTTAGCACCATGGCGCAAACACCATTAAAAATCCAGAAAAGAAGGAAAAACAGTTAAAGTATTTGAAATGTAAAGTATTAAATAAGGCTTTAATTTAACAACATTTCTCGTTCCCTTTCCCTTTGCTAGAGAGAGGTGTAAAAGGAAAAGCCCTTTGTTTGATAGCCTCTTAGGCTGTGTCTACACTGCAGACCTTACAGTGGCACAGCTGTATCGCTCCAGCTGCGCCACTCTAAGGTCTTCCATGTAACTGCTCTGTGCCGGGAGGAGAGAGCTCTCCTGCCGGCATAATTAAACCACTCTGAATGAGCGGCAGTAGCTATGTTGGCAGGAGAGCATCTCTCTGTCATATAGCGCTGTCCACGCCGGCACTTTTGTCGTGTAACTTATGTTACACACACACTCCAGACCGACAAAAGTTTTGCTGACAAAAGTGCTAGTGTAGACAAAGCCTTAGATGGTATCCAAAACGGCAATAACTCTTCTTTTTGGGAGGAAAGAAAAGCTGGTTGATATAGGCCAAAGCTGCTCTTTGTTGCAATCAGTTGAGAAGAAAAAGCAATCTTGCTTTACAGGCTCTTAGGTGGTAATAACTCATCCCAGATTGTGATGGTGAGAGATGTTCTGACCAAACCAGGCCAGAGGGAGGAACCCAAATGACATCACCACTTCTGTCAGCTCCAGCTGAATTCGAAACACAAAGGCCCAAGGTCGCAGGAAGTGGTAGTGGTGGCAGTCCTGACGGCGAGTCTTGCTTCAGTAGCCTCCATTGGCTCTTTGAGTGTCCCCACCCCACCCTCAAAATTCTCTATTTGTAAGGACCCAACAAGGGAGTAATGTGTGGAATAGCCCATTTCCTCATTATTTTCTCCACCAATTAGGCCAAATAGCTGACACACCAATTTTGGTTCACTCAAGTCCAGCTCCACATACTCTTCACCCATTTTTTTCCCCCACAAGCATGATTTCAACAATCCTTGAGAACTGTATCAGTAGGCCATTTTTGTTTAGACTGTGTCAGTTTTTCTGTCTCCTTTTTGTGCCTTTTCCCATCAATATTTGTTATTATAGGTTATTGGGACATCACATGAACTTTCACTCTCTTCTTACAATTAAACTCAGGACTAGGGGTATATTTATAGGCCCTATTATCACAATGGGTCCCTACAAGTCAAGTTTGAGGTGCATTGGTAGGGTGGAGTAAGGGGGAAGCTCCCCCTGCCACTGTCCACTCCATCCCTGTTCTGTAGATAAACATGCCTTCATCCTCCAGGGTCTGACAGCCCAATATCCTGGGATCAACACAGCTACAACTGCACTACCTAGTCCAGAACTAAGATAATGAACAATAGAAAAACCCTTGAGTAACTGTTTTGCTATCTAGTGTGACACTGTCTGAAAAAGCCCAGCTCAGCTCTCTTCTCTGGGTACTGAAATGTCTGTGTTAAATCTATGCTGTCGAGACGACCTCTTGGAGCAGGGGCCATGTCGTCCTACATGTCAGTGCAGCGCCTGGTGCATTATGGATCCTACCTCACTTAAAGTGCACGTTGTCATTCTAGAACTGCAGGGAGTTTGTTTAGGCAGGTTTAATTTACTTGCTGTTCTCTTTTGTCCTTCTTTCCCTAGGTACATCTTTGCTAAAAATCTCTTTGAGCTTGGCCACCTCGCTGAGATCGAATGGACCATTTACCGGGACTTGCACACCTTCCTCCTACAAGAGTTCGGGGATCGAATTGCTCTGCATGGCTTTCTGTATCTCCAGGCAACTCCAAAGGTAACTGAGAGCATGACTGGGAACTAACTAAAATCATCTCTAGTGGCTGCATTGAAGGCTGGCCTTGCTTTCAGACTGGGAGTCAAGAAGTCTGGATTCAACTCCCAGCCTTACTGTGTAATTTGGGTCAAATCAATTAATCCCTGTGCCTCAGTTCCCAATGTATAAAATGGTGATAATAGCCCAGCAATTAATGGGGGGAGGGTGTCTCTGAAAGGCTCCAGAAATGTAAGAGGGTAAAAATCAATACACGTAAGGACTTGTCTGCACTAGGGATTCCTGTGATTGCCAACTTATTTACCTGTCCTAGTATAATTTTGGCACATCCTTCTGTAAAGAACCTCCTTAACTGCTCTGAGCTCTCACTGTAGGGTTCTTGACACAGTTTGCAACTGCTCAAGGCAGGAAAGCAGTGAGTAGTTGAGGTCAGTCACTAGTTGTATTATGATAGCTCCTGGAAGACCAAGATTGAGGCCCCAGTGTGCAAGGCACTATATGTATACATAGTGAGAGACAGTACCTTTTCTGAAGAACTTGCACTAAGCAGACAAGACAAAGGGTGGGAGGGGAAACTGAGGCACAAAGAGTCCAGTTACTTGGCTGAGTTTACACAGCAGATCAGTAGCAGAATCAGGAATAGAACCCAAATCTCTTAAGTGCTAATCTAGGGGTCTGTGAACTGGATTCACAAAATCATGGAGCAGGCATGATCACGGAGCAGGTCCTCAAGGAATCCATTTTGAAGCACTTGGAGGAGAGGAAGGTGATCAGGAACAGTCAACATGGATTCACCAAGGGCAAGTCATGCCTGACCAACCTGATTGCCTTCTATGATGAGATAGCTGGCTGCATGGATATGGGGAAAGTGGTGGACGTGATATATCTTGACTTTAGCAAAGCTTTTGGTATGGTCTCCCACAGTATTCTTGCCAGCAAGTTTAAAAAGTATGGATTGGATGAATGGACTATAAAGTGGATAGAAAGCTGGCTTGATTGTCAGACTCGATGGGTAATGATCAACTGCTCGATGTCTAGTTGGCAGCCGGTATCAAGAGGAGTGCCCCAGGGGTTGGTCCTGGGGCCAGTTTTGTTCAACATCTTTATTAGTGATCTGAATGATGGGATTAATTGCACTCTCAGCAAATTCGCAGATGACACTAAGCTGGGGGGAGAGGTAGATACGCTGGAAGGTAGGGATAGGGTCCAGAGTGACCTAGACAAATTGGAGGATTAGGCCAAAAGAAA